GCTTCTGCCATACCCGGCCGCTCTAGGGAAACGGGGGTGGCCCGCGCCACCTCGGTGGCCTCGTGCTCGGTGGTGAAGGTGTAGGCCGCGCAGGGGGAAGGGCTTCCTGAGGGAAGCCATCTGCCGGGGCGGCTGGTGGGGCCTCCCCATGGCTCTTAAGCTCAGAGGGAAATCTGTGGGATACCATCCGGAGCGCTCAAGCTGCGCTCAGGCGTGGACTAACTAATCTTTAAAGGTGTCTTCCACACAGCTCTCTTGTGTAATGCCAGAGCTGGAACATCAAACCAAGCCTCAAGGTCTCAGCTTGTTGCTGCAGGCGGAGTTGGAGCTTTGCAGAGGAGCCCAAATCCTGTGCTTGTGCCCCAAATGGGTGTGATGAGACAGTCATGGAATAGGGATTTTAGCTGGGCCGTTGCCCTGGCCTGCATGGTGTTGCATTAGCTTCCAGGTGCAGCAAATACAGATGTCGACCTTGGTGGGTGTTAGAAAAATTAACATTGGGCACCTTGGGCAAATTGCTGTGAAAGGATGGCTGGGGAAAAGAAAGGCTTCATCTGAGTGCAGCCTGTGCGTGAGTTTCATGTAAGAAAAGGAAGTGCCCATGAAGCCCTTGCTGGAAGGGGAAGAGGGCGGCAGGCTGGAGGAAGGAAGTGGGAAGCTGGAAGGCCGTGACGCTGGGGAGAGAGTGGAGACTGTGGGGCCGTTGGCAGGAGCAAGGGGCAGACTGAAATCAGGCGCGTGGAAGGGCCTTGAGCCCTTGTGCAGCACTGCATGGTCCTGCCTGGCCTGCGCGGGAGCCGTCACTGGAAGGGCCAGCGCATACAAATCCTTGAAAACCGCAGAGTACAAAGTTGCTGTTGCAACTTTTCTTTAAGGAAGAAAAAAATAATAAAAACGGCCCCAAGGAGGGCGGGCCTGGCTCGGCAGGCGTGTGCTGTGTTTCAGAAGAGGTCACAGGATATGAAACTGAGAAGAGTCATCCGCCCTGAGCCACCGCCTGCACCGTGCACCCCGAGTGCTGGGCATGGCACATGGTACGACAGGAGCTGCCCATACCACAAAATCTCTGTCTAGGAAAGCAACATCCAAGCACATACAGTGGCAGAAAGGGTTAAAGCTCTTCAGCGGGTGGTGTCTTGGGTCACCCGGGATAACTAGGCCTGGTAAAACTTAAACCGTGCCTAACCGAGCAGGAACTGCAGCAAGCCGGGGGCCGCGTTGCTGCCCTGCCTTCCCCGGGAGCGCTGCCCCGGCGGCTCC